AAAGTGAACAGTATGAGCCTGGATATTCATGGAATATTATGTGGCAAATAAGAAATTAGTCATTGATGAGGAAAGGTAATTTATCAAGTCTCAGCAGGGAACTGAGCATATTCAGATTGGGCAATCTGAGTGGAGTTTAATAAAGGTGTTACATATAAAGCAGGGTACTAGAAAACCACAAGTGACAGGGTAGCACCTGGCAATAGTAAGCAGTGTACAGATGTCAAAGCCAGAGAAAACAGCTGTGTGGAGTGGGCTGCCAGGAAGCCCACCTTCTAAGGAGGGACACAGCCAGCTGCTGAAACCCAGTGGGGAATGAATACCCAGACCCTGCTCTCCCCTAGCCCTACAGACTCCTGTGGGTGCCACCTTTGGATGAATCCAGTGGGACATCAGAGAGAAGCTCTGAGACAGTGCGTGCATTTCTGCCTTCAGGGTGCAGAGCAGGATGATGAAGGGTGGAGGTGGATCTGAGGGACAAATGGAAGCTGTCCAGTGCAAATGGCCATACCAGTAAACAAAAAGAGTAAACAAAAAGTACTTTACAAGTGATGCATTAAAAAAAATTACAGATAAATAACATATAACCTCCAGAGAAATTCTGGAATGGTTTACTCCAAGGAGTAAAACAGTGGTTGACCCAGTTCCTTAACAGTGATGGCATGAGGCAAGTCTTATTGTTGGGGACTGTGTCATGTACTTCATGACACTTAGTATCCCTGGCTCCCAGAGCACTAAATACCAAGAGAAATTCCACTCTAATTTTATTTATTTATTTATTTACTGAAATGTTTTATCATGGTGACTTGGTGAATAAAATCAAGTAAGTTTCATGTGTAATAACCAATTAAAAAAAAAAAATCCTACCCACTGCTAGACATGTACCACATCTGCTAAGGACCACTGTAGGGGCTAGAATTACAGGGTTTTTTTCACCTGCATTTTTCTAATTTTTCTACCAAGACTACATATTGTTTTTGTGAAATAGAAACTCTGTTGCCCTTTTTAAAAAAGAACTCAACAAGATAGAATAATTTAGTTTCCAGCTCTCAGTAAACTCTGTTTGTCCTTCCCCAACTAAGTTTGCCCATGGCAGTAAATAAATGAGAGGTGACCTAACATTATTGCATGGATGCTATAATTCATTTTGCAGTTAACAATAACAGTTAACTGGAAGGGTGCAATGAATTCAAATCACTTTTATTCTTCAAGTACTCGTGATGGTTATGAAATCACAGTATCCTACCAGTGGAGTACTAGATTGCTTCTAGTTTATAAAACTCTAAAAGAAAGGAAACGACTACAATTTGGTTTCAAAATAACATTACACTGGCACAGCTTAGAGTGTTTCGGTACCTTAGCTACTACCACTCAGCCCTTTGAGAAAGCCAAGGCAAGCAATTTTGACAATAAATTTGGAGAGACATTGTGTTTTGTTCTTTATTATTTCATTTCCCCTAGGTTCAAGCAGAAAGTCAGGTTCTTAATATTTCTTTGCCTCAATTTTTTTTTTCCAAGGCAGAAAAGTAACATTCTATCTTCATCTCAGGGCTGAGAGCAATAGTTTGAAACCTGCCCCTCTCTCCCCACCTCCTGCCACTAAAGAATCAATGGTACCATATTCCATTACAACCAAGAAACTATCCATTGTAAGCTGCATCCTGAGCCGGTTTTAATAAACATGAACAAAAAAGCATTTTAGAATCAATAAAATACAGTATAGCATTTAAGGTGATCCTGAACATTTTTAAGAGCTTTTCTAATTTAAAACAGTTGCTTTAGTTTAATAGGCTCACACTACTGATGACAATTTAAACTAGTACAACTTTGGGGAAAGATAATTTTAGAATATTTAACAAACCAAATTTGTGTACCCTTTGACACAACAATTCTACTTTAAGGAACTTTCCCTCATAAAAAGCAATAGACAAATGTGGAAAGACGGGGAACAAGGAAGATTGCTACAGCACTGGTAAAACCTAGAAACATGCTAGTTTTAAAATAGAAAACTGAGGAAATCAAAACCGTACTTCCTTATGACAGAAAACTAACAATGTGAGATATCCCAGACCCTGAAAAGTGCTCATAGTAAGAGGACATAGCAAGTTACAAATCCATGAAAAATTTATAAGAAAATACATGCATGGAAAAAAAGAAGTATTAAAGGAGTTCCTGGAAAAACAAAAACAAAAAAAAAAAAACCAAAAAAAACCCAGAAGATGCAAAGTCAAAAATAAAAAAAATTTAAAAATCTCCTTCAAGATAGGTAAGTTTCTTCTTGATTGAGAGAACACACCAGGTCCCCAGTATAATGGAAGAAAATGGACACATATGAAGGCACGTCACTGTGATATTACAAAAGAAAGATGGTTCTACAGGCTTCCAGAAGGAAAGAAAAAAAGGATCAAGAAATGGAATAAATATAGCATTTGATATCTTGCTTCCTGGGAACGGTCATCAGTTTTGGCTCAAATAAACTCTTATAAATATTTTTTTAAAGGATTGGAATAAATATTTTCTTAAAAGAATCAGAATAACCAAAAGACAATAGAGAAATACTTTAAAAATCCTGAAGAAAAAACAATTTCCAATCTAACATTCTGTACCCAAACTATTAATTATGTATTAATGGTCAAATCAAGACATTTTGAAAGATGCAAATCTCAATTGATACATGCATCCTTTCTTAGAAAACTATTAGAGGCTATGCGTTCCCCCAGAGGAAGGCAAGACAGAGAAGAGACTGGCCATGGGAAGGAGAGGGATGAAGAGAATCTCTAGGGTGATGGTGCAGGAGACTCTAGGCCATCAGCTGTGTCAAAGTGAGCAGGCTGGGTGGGAGCAGGTCTGAGGCTCCCATAGACGGTTGGTCCAGAGTATGACCTTGATAGAATGTCTGACGTCTCTCAGTTTTCTTGAGAGGAGATTTAGACAACTAAGGTAAAATTAGTGACTAAACATCTAGAGAACTAAAAAAATGGAAAAAGACAATGACTAACTCCAGGAAATTGGGCAGGAAAGGAAAAGTGCTCACAGACTACTCAGTGCCCTAAAGTTGACACTCGCTGTTGATCTAACCCAAAATATAGTGGGAGCCTGGAAGGGTATGTGTATGGTGGGGGTGCTAAAGATGTGGTCCAGACAGCTAAAGCCTCATCCTTCAGTGGGAAGCTAATGGATAACACCTACAATTGGAAAAAAATATATCAAGAAACAGCATTATAAACATATTATGAAGAATGCTAAGGGATTTGAATGTAGGTACCTCTAGGTATGAAGATGGTGAGGGAAACATATTTGTGCCTACAAGACTATTTGACTTTATAAACATGAGCATACATAGTTTGGTCAAAAATAAAAACTCAACTATAGTAGTAATAAGGGTAATTTTTCTTACGTTTTTCTTTTTCAAAAACAATTATATCTAAAAGGATACACGCCAGTGTACCAACAGTGATTATTTCTAATGATGAGATTGTGAGCCATTTATATTTTTTACTTCACTGTCCTATTTTCTGAAAAAGTGTGGAACATAGAACATATTGACCATAAATCAGAAAACAAGAGGCATTTTGCTTTATGCCTGGTCAAAATCCACCCCAGGGTAGAAGCCCCATCTCTGTCATTTTAGCTTCTGTTTGCTCAGATGGGGCAGGGGAGACTGCCAACTCCTTCATTCACATAGCAAATATTTGCTGAATTCCCATAAGCCAGGCCCTGCAAGGTGATTCCAATCTTAGCTTTTTATTGAGGCTTCTTAAGTCAATACCAGCTGAGGGAACCAGCTGGGGGATGGGCTAAGCCAACATTTCTCAAACTTTATCTGCACTGAAACTACCTGGGATTGATTCAGTCTGGGGTGGGGTCTGAGACTCAGGAGGATCAAGTATGCTATTTGATGTACACATGTTTTGCTGAAGGTTTCCCAGAGTTTTCAGTCACGTGTGCACCATCTTGGCTTCCATTCTCTACTCCCAAATAGGCTGGATTTCCATTCCACAAATATTTAAAGGAAAAGTATGTGAGATATGGTGGAAGGGGCGCTGGTTAGACAGCTGGAAGGAATGCCCATTAGCAGTTAAGAAAAGCTCTGCTCGCTCCCACAGTCAAGCCTGGGTTGGAATCACAGCTCCACCACCTCCAGGTGTGACTTACTTCCCCTCTCTATGCCTCAGTTTCTTCACATGTAAAACGGGACAATAACTGAAACCGCCTTCACAGGGTAGGGTTGTTGTGTGGATTACATGAGGGCACAAAAGCATCTAAGGAGCTTGACAAGTCGCTGGCACATGGTGAAGGCTAACAGTGGCCACCACCAGGGCTCCAGTCCTTTCTCAGACATGAAGGACTGGCTGGGACTGCTCAGGAAATCACTTGACCTCTCAGCTTCCAAGTCCTTCTATGAAGAGAGTGCCCACGCCTAGCCTCCTCTCCAGGAACATTCTGAGCCTAAACCAGGATGTGCCACAGAACTGTTTGGACCTCAGAGGTTGAGGCTCTCAGATTTTATTCAGTAAATGTTATCTGATTCACCTCAATTTTACTACTAGGCAGATAATTTGGAAAAGGAATAAATCCTCTCCTCTCCCCTGAACTTTGGAAAGCTTTGCTTTAGAGAGGAGGCCACCCACGAGGAGATCAGGTAAGGGTGGCGCCAGGTTTTCTAGACACTCATTAACACGAACTCCATGCCCACCAAGCATCCTGTTCCCAGGATATGCCACGACCACCGACAGGGAACAGCAAGTTGGGTTTCTCCCCCAACAGATTCTGAGGGTCACGATCCTCTTATCCAAGAGAGCCCAAGGCAACTAACTGGACCTCGTTCAGAGAGGTGGTCTGAGTTTTGCACTTCGGGAAGAAGACGAGACGGAGCAAAAAGGGTTGCTTGGAAGCCGGTCAGCGGATCCGAGCTGGCTCCCAGCTGGCTCCCAGCCCAGGAGCACACGCTCGGGTCCGTCTGCGCCCCCGCCTCCCGCCCCCTCCCGCCAGGCACTCACGATCTCCGCCACGATGAGGAGCCCGGGCACCGTGCGGAGGAACTCCCGGTCGTAGGCGAAGCTGCTGCTGCTGGTGGAGAAGTTCTCGGCGAAGGAGCTGGCGGTGGTGGTGACGGTATGCGGGCGCGCGCGCTGCGGCTCCTCCATGGTCGCGCCTCGGCTGGGCTGGCCCCTCCTCGGGGACCCCCGGCACGTCTGGGGGTGGACAAGCGGCCCTGAGTCCTAGGGGTCGGCTAGGGAGGGCACCCTGGCGAGGGGGAGGGGAGCGCG